TACTTTTATATATTTCTTTTGTTAATAATAAACAACTCCTCATGATTTCCCTCCAGGCTTTTATTAATGCTGCATGACTTTGTTTTTAGTATGCTGTCTAGAGATTGGCAAGTGTACCTGTGTTTCTGTGCTATTTTTTTTTTTTTTTATTGTTTTTAAAAAGCAAGCTGTTTCTGTCTGTGTGAACCTTAAGGTGGGTACTTCTGTTGTCTCAGGATCAAGAATGACAAGAATTCACATGCACTCATCCAACTTCAGCCCCATGTTACCTCCTTTTTCCAGTCACATCTTCGTCTTGTTGTGGGAGCTTTGCTCAGGTCTAGCACCGGTTGTTTTGAGTAAACTGTTTTGGGTTTTATTGAGGCTTGCTAACATAGGCCCCTGTCAGACATGCACCCCTAGACAGGAATTTGCCAAATATTTCACATTTAGGCTGTCTGAACAAAGCCCCCAGTCCTGTAGCTGGCAAAATGTTACCAGCAGTTGGATGGATCTAGTCAAATAACCTGCTGCATTCTAACCAGGGATGTGTCTGAACTAGAATGGTCAACTTGCCAGTAAAGGCACAGTCAAGATGACAACAGTGCTATAGCACAACACACAACATTTTATCTGTTTCATTACTTTGTTCCAACTAACGCTGCAGTCTCTCGCCCTCTCTCTATTCACTCTACAGTTAGCTTGGCCACCACTCTCTCTCTCTCTCTCTGTTAGTGGCATATATTTTACACTGGCAGTGAAATTTGTGCATAAGGGTATAAAGGTCATAATGCCACTAGTTAGTACAAAGTTCATTTTGAATGAGTACAGAGAAAATGCAGTTTAGCAGCATGAGCTAATGCAGAGTGGCTGGAAATTGGGCTGACATGCTAATCAAAGGACTACTTATCTTCCATGCTGTCTCGCACAATGTTGGATATATCATGAGTGCTGTGGCTGTACCCAGCTAGGTCCTGCTGTATTTGAACAAAGCCTTGCTGGGAATTTAGCACACAGCAGCTCTATGTTTGAATCTGAATGTCAAAAGAGCAACTGATACATGGCTACATATAGCCCACCAATTCCCAGGTACCATGTCTAAAAGGGGTTATAGTGTTTCACATTTAATGTTTGCATTTATGCTTAGTGTGGAAGCACATTTTTAGTGGCGAAATCCAGTCTGTTTTGTATGGAACATTGTTTAGACATGTCGGATGAATTGCGTTGAAGTTGACAAACCAATTACCATATCTAAGTCTTGTCTTCTGAGAAAAATAGAAGTGCAAGACAAATTTGTCAGGGACATACAGATAATGTACTGTGAACTTAAACTATTAAATGTAAGAGGTTGTGCTTATCTGTGACTCAGTGTAAAATTCAGCAATGCGGGATGCTGTAGACTTAATAACTGGGACATTTTGAGGAATGTTATTAGAAGAGGGTTCACAGGGGTCCTTTCTGCCACACAAGCATCCTGCACGACACACAACTTCAAACCACAACTCTGCCAGCAACAAGCCTGTCTGGCACCAGACCTCACAGGAAATGACAAGAAAAATACTCAAGTTGAAATGAGGAAATTTGGTGTCTAGCTTCATCCACGCCGCCCCCCAAGAAAAAAAAAAACTAGTTTTTTTCATCTATTACAAATTTTATAACTGCTCAATAACCAAAAGAAGCAGGAATATGATGAACAGCCATCAATAAGTTTGAAATGAACTGCTTATCCATTAATTAGGCCCATATGTCCAGCACATTGACATTGCAGTGAAACTCCATGAATCCCTCTATTTATAATCTTGAGATTCACTGGTTGAAACGACTCACTTATGTGTGGGCAGATGGGTTATGACTAAAGTAAACTCAGTGGCAACGAGGTAGTCTATTCTTTTAGTCTCAAGTTACCTGCCTCTATGAAGCAGTACAGCTTTGTCCTGGAAATGGAGGCACCACCTACTTTTACTGACATCTGGTCAGACCTGCTAAAGGTTGCTGTGACTAACTGCAGCTTGATACACCGAGGAAGCCTGAGATGAGTCATTAAATGTCAGCCTGGTCTGATCAAAATCAGGTGGTTCAGTTACTAACTGTTGCCAGACGTATTGAGATGGCTGTTGCTTTAATGCCTGTGTGTGTGCATATATCTCTTTATGCATGAGTGGCCCACTTAGAAATCAGAAGTAAGGGGAGAGTTAGAACCTTTACATGATGCACTTCATGCCCTGAGCTGAAACTAATCATTCCTTTTAGTTCAAAGTCTATCTTTTCACAGAATTATCCTTATGCAATGACCTGATAGTCTTTCAAGCTAACCTAATTTGCACCTGTTGCAGTGCTCTAAGCCAGCTGAATGGATTTCTCCACCATAACCTTGTTCACATTGGTCAGATTATTTATGAGTCATTTCTCAGAATGGGTGCTGAACATGTTGTGTTGTGTACGTGACCAGCACAGAGGAGGTCTGTTAAGGAAATTGCATGGGGGCTGCGAAATTCAGAAGGCATATTTTGTTCTGTAAATCATGTTAACTAAGGATGGGCAATGAATTTTTTGAATATTTGAAGTGTGTGATCTTCACATAATTGTAAAATAGTTCCCAGCAAATATCGAATAGCATTTTAGCTTAAAGCCATCCCTGTTAGGCTAGTGGTTAAGGCGCAGCGCTCTTGCCGCTGTGGCCCGGGTTTGAGTCAGGGTTGTGTCAGGAAGGGAATCCAGCGTAGAATACGTGCCAAATGTTAACATGCAAGTCGTCAGTGTGACGATTCGCTGTGGCGACCCCTAAACAGGAAAAGCCGAAAGTGACTTTCTATTTTAGCTTGAAATGCCCATCCCTAATGTTAACAGCAGTAACATGTTCAATATGGAGGTACTTGAAATCATGTTAACATTTAGCTTTTACTGAGAGAAACCGAGTTTAGAGCCCCTTAACTGTGAATGAACCAAATGATGCACAACAGTTCACAAACAAGGACAGGCTTATGAAAATATGAATGTAAGTCCTGTTTTCTTGTACCTGTTATTTTCTCCAGACTAAGGGTGTCTCCTTTTGACACAGGGTCATCTCTCTGAAGGTCTGGTCACCAAGTGGTACAGATCTCCTCGTCTGCTGCTCTCTCCTAACAACTACACCAAAGCCATCGACATGTGGGCCGCTGGCTGCATCTTTGCAGAGATGCTCACGGGAAAAACCCTCTTTGCGGGTAAATGTTAACTCAGTTTCTTATGTTTGACTTGCCTTATAAACAGACGTATCAGCAAGCAGACTTTGAAGCAGGTTGACTGGTAAAATGTTCGCCCTCTTAGTCAGCATGTCTTCATTCAGACAGTAGCATCAGCTTTTACTTACCCTTATTCTCCCCTTTGCAAATCTAGCTGGAGCTGGAAGAGTAACTGTTGTTTGTTGAAACTGCCTTGAGCTGAACACAAGGCAAATAACATCTCTGGTCCCATGATCTGCTGTGCTCAGCCTGGCTTTAAACAAATTCAGTCATGTAGATGTTGAGTCTTGTGTAAGAAAACACCTGATGTTCATCTTCCTGGTGTTTCAGGAGCCCACGAGCTGGAGCAGATGCAGCTGATCTTGGAGTCCATCCCTGTACTGCGAGAGGAAGACCGACAGGAGCTCCACAGCGTCATCCCAGTATTCATCCGCAACGACATGTCTAAGCCTCGCACACCTCTGGCCAAACTGCTGCCTGACGTCAGTCCACAGGGTGAGTACCACTTACCTATTCATTCAGAAGTACTCGCAGGTTCATGAAATACTCAATCACAGATGATGGGGCTCGGGGTTGTATCTCTCGTATATCACATCTCATGTCCTCCCTCTGTGTAGCCCTGGATTTCCTGGAGAAGATCCTGACCTTTAACCCCATGGATCGTCTGACTGCGGAGGAGGCCCTGGCCCACCCCTATATGGCTGACTACTCCTTCCCCCTGGATGAGCCTGTCTCTCTGCACCCTTTCCATATTGAGGACGAAGTAGATGATATCCTGCTCATGGACCAGAGCCACAGCCACATCTGGGACAGGTATGGTTGCTCACTAACTCCCCCTACAACACCTATGTGTGTGTTTTGTTTTTATTAGTTAAATGGTGTGCTTTCATGGTTAGATCGTCTACTGGTGCTTTTTGTGTCATCTGTACTTCTGTGTTTGTATACTAGAATGTTTGTTTTTTTTATATACTGTATCAGGTTTCACGAGAGCCAGCTGTCAGAGGCTGACTGGCACCTGCACAGCACCCACGATCCAGATGAAGTTCAGGTTGACCCACGAGCACTCTCTGATGTAACAGACGAGGAGGAGGTCCAGGTCTGTTTGAATTTGTGCATGCTACTTTTAAAACAGTTTCTCATGTTTATTTCATTTTAGTTTGAATGTGTATGAAATTATGCTTCCCAAATGCAAGGGTACATAGGTTGTGTCTTGTATTGCTCTAAAAAGAATGCGTAACAAATGGAAAGTAGTGTCCAATTTGACATGTAGATTGGATAACATTTGTAGTTTTGATTTTAAATTTAGTTTTTGATGAGATAAATGCTAAATGGTGGCTGTTGTTTTGCTTGCAGGTGGATCCTCGTAAATATGCTGATGTAGATCGGGAGAAGTTTCTGGATGAGCCATCCTTTGACTACTCCAGTCTTTTCCCGCCAGAGCGATCCTGGCCAGATGATCACCATGAGAACAAATACTGTGACTTGCAGTGTAGCCACACCTGTAACTACAAGGCTGTGTCACCATCCTACCTTGACAACCTCATCTGGAGGGACAGTGAAGTCAACCACTACTATGAACCCAAGCTTATCATCGACCTTTCCAACTGGAAGGAGCAGCAGAGTAAGGAGAAGGCCGACCGCAAGTCCAAGAGCAAGTGTGAAAAGAACGGGCTGGTGAAGGCCCAGATCGCCCTGCGGGGGCCTGAAAAGGCCCAGGGTCCCACACAGAAGGATAGTGAGCAAGAGAAACACCAGACAGAGAAGCCTCAGAGCCAGCAGAACCAAGGCTTTGACTTTGACTCCTTCATCGCCAGCACCATTAAACTGAGCCTGTTGCCAGAGCCCAGTCAAGAGGTGGCCCTGCTCAACGAGGTGGGCCTCCTGAATGAGCTCAACACTTCGGTCTCCCAGCTGGAGGCTCCCCGCTCAAGCTCCATGTCCAAGTCCATAAGTCAGGAGAAGGAGGAGAAGTGCCTGGTTAACCTCGCCCAGTTAGGTGGAGGGGGGTTGGGGGGAGTCAGCGGGGACAGCGTCTGGCCTTCTCACCCTTGGGAGAGCTTCGGTTGTGGGGAGAGAGCCGGGGAGAACGGCTGTTTGATAGACGAAGTGTGCTGGGACATTCGCAAAGAGGACCACTTCCAGAACGAGAGCACTTACACCAGCTACCTGGACCGCCTGTTCAGCCGGAACGAAGAGGCAGTCGCAGAGACTGTGGTCCACCCGGAGACAGAGCCCTTGGACGGGAGAGACCTGGACGAGAGCTTCCTCAGTAGGAACACGGAGATTGTGCTTAATATGCAGCTGGACACACTGGCTCTGCCTGGCTTTGACAGCACCGATGACTTGCCTCTAAAATCTATCCAGGCCTCTCTCACCCCCTGCGCTGTCAAATGCTCCCCACAGATCGCCCACAAAACATACAGCAGTATCTTGAAGCATCTTAATTAAGAAATATATCCCTCACAGTGGGGGCCTTTTTTTTTTTTTTTTTTTTTTTTTTTTTAAGAATATGGTATATTGTTGTACTTGAATCATTTCATACCTTTTTTATTATGGTTACTTATTAATTTCATTTTATTTTATTTTTTTAAGAGTTGAGAGGGTTAGTTATTTTATTTAAAGATTCTTTGTCATCACTCTGAGCCTTGATCACCAGGCCTTCGTATGGGCTAATGTCTACACCCTCATTGCTAACCTGGTATGTCACTCACACACTTGCATAAGTACTGTAGCTGAAGAGAGAGCAGGTGAGATGTATCTGGAAGAAAAGTGGATGAGAGGAGGTGATGTACAGGATGAGGTTCAGCTGTTTAGGTGTGACTTAAGGAAGGATGGTAGACGTTAACATTGCTGTAAGGCTTTTAAAGTGCTTTCAAACACCTGGCGTGAGTGTTGTTTTTTTTTTTTTTTTTTTTTTTTTTTTTTAAACTTTACATTTGCTCCCCAAAGAAAATTTAATAACCCTTTCATACTGTAAATGTGACACATGATGCCAGCAGCAACCATTATCGTCGGCGTTAATGTAAATGTGTTATCTACCTCAAGGTAACAGCCGCGAGAGACACTCGAAGCCACGCTAGTGCTTTACACACGACCATCCTCATACCATGACATAAAGTGGTCACGTTATATGAAATCTGTCTCACTCTAACATTTAACATAGTGAGGTGTTTCAGTAATCATTATTTATTTTTAGCAGATGTGCGATATTTATTTGATCAAAACATGTTATTTCAATGTGATTATTGAAGCTCAGAGTTGGACAGACCTCCATTTTCATTTCGGCAGTTCTTTGTTTTATGGTAGGAAGCAAATTCATCTTGTGTTTTGAACGAAGTTTGAGGCTTTCCATTTTCCATCAATTTTTTTGGATATTTTTTTTTTTTTTTATAGGTGCGTTCTGTCTTTAGTGGAAAAAAACTGCTTTACGGTTTCAAGAAGCGCCTAAGTCTTAATTTTTTTTTTTTTTATCTAAATGTAAAAAATTGTGTGCATGGAGGCAAGAGAAAGGTACATCAGAAATAAAGGTAATGGTGAGTATTGTACGTCGGTTTTAATTGTACGTTTTTTGTTAAACTTCTGTGTACTTTTTTCAGGCAAGCATGATGGATTAGGTTAAGGTGTAGCATGTAGAACACTTCTGGACTTTTTTGTAATCATTGGTTCCCCTGTTCTACAAAATATCTCAAAATAAAGATTTAGTGGCAAAGAGATAAGTTTTGCTTTCTCTTCTTTGTGGCTCTGACCTCATACACTGTGTTATTGTAACTTGACTTTGAAGTGCTGACTGCAGTGCTGCCATCTCTAGATTCCACTTGCTTTCCAAGTAGGCAGACTGAATTACACTGAGTGCTGGGCTTTAAGTAACCAGTTAAATATAGCTCAGGATTATTTCATATCTCAGAGCTGTAGACCGGGGATGCAGATTTACCACCTACTTTTTAAATACAAGACTGCAGGTAGACGAGCAGGATTGCATTAGAAAACTTCCTCCTTCGAGCTGCTCCATTTTGCCTGTTCTGTCATTTATGTGCTAACAAAAAGGTGCAGAAACACATTTCACTTCCCATCACAGGCAGCTTTTATGTAGTTCTCAAAAAACTTGCATGAGAGAGAGATGACTCAACAAGATGACAGATTGTGTGGAAATAATGGGCTCCTGTAGGTTGTGGTGACACTGTCAAAGTTGCACTGAGACAGTCTGAGATTATAGGTAGGAGTGGGGAGTCATTTTCACAAGTCAGCTGCTTTTTGTGAAACCCAAAGGCTCATGGTGAACTGCCTCTCTGTCAGGACACATTAAATCCTGTGCAGTGTTTGTCCAAGAGCCAAACAGGTAAAAGATGGTTCATAATTCCCAGACCAGAAACTACTGTATGCTGTTATTTAAACAATCTAACCTTACAGGAAGAGAAGAGTTCTAGTATAACCACCTACAGCTGGACTAGGGTTTCACTGCTGCTATGACAGTCACAGTGATTTAACCCTGCTGAGATATGAGATGAAAGCGAAGGTACCCAAGTTGTTTGAAGTGATAGAATCAGAGCACTGCCTGAAGACAAATACCATCTACAGCAGGCTAAATACTGTCGAAATGCAAATGCCTTTTTCACAGTTTTCAATCCCACTGCCCCACATATCTAGGTCTTCTCTCCCCAGCTTGTCTCATTACTTTCTGCAGCTTCCTCCTTTCTCTCATCTTGCTTTTATAGGACGTGTTGGTTCTAATTTGACGACATCTCTGATCCGATGTCAGTATGCACATCAACACCACACAGGCTTCTTCATTATCACAATCACAACACAGACTCCTTCATCCTCTGCTGAAACTTATATTTAGAGGTGTCTATATTTTTGTCCTCATCAGCTACATACACAAGAGGGTCAGAATATCAGGAACACCTCTGACTATAAAATAGTCCAGTACAACACCACCTTTAACTATGACCTCAATAACAAACATTACTGAATTTATACATTTGACAGTTTCACCAAAAACAGACTTTTTGAGCTTCATAAACACAAATGTTAAGGTGGAAGTGTTGCATACACAGGTGCAGGTATTAGGTACAGGTGTACCTAATAGAGTGTATGTCTCCTCAGTCTTGCACCTACATACCTCACTGTCTTATGTTCCCTCATCCCCTTCTGACAGTCATCTCTCACCCTCTAAGGGCTTCCCTGGACTGTCAGGTGTTGTCAGGTTAAAAATAAAATTTGAAACACCAACTATGTCAAATTCCTGCCCATCAGCTGACAGTGGCTTAACATATCTCCTGAATGCTATTCTCTGTCCTGGAAGGCCAATTAAAACTCAGTGTTTCAGGAAAGACCAGAAACTGTTTTAAACTTCTACAGAATTTCCTCAACGGAAAGTACTGAAATAACTTGTATAAATGCGATGATCTGCTTGGCCAAGGTTTTGCAGTAGAGGTGAATGGATATGGATACAAAGCACAAGTCTCCAACAGTTACCTGCTACAACTTCAGGCTGCTCATTATGGCCCCTCAGTGTCAGAATGCACGTCCATATTGAGACCAGAGTTGTGCAGAGCACTGGAAACTAAAGTTAGAACACAAAGTGCTTTTATAAATAGGCAGCAGCCCTCAAGGACATGCACATTGAAAGCTTTAAACTGCCAAAGTTACAGAGTGTCTTGACCGTTCACAGCACGTAAGACCTGTGCCACTTCTAAGCAACATACAGCTACAAATTCAACATAGCAGAGGAGCAAACATGCAGCTCTTTTTGTGCTCCAGACTTAGAAGATAGTAACTTTGGGCTCACTTTGCAAGTGAAAATTTCTCATTATTATTCTCACATTATAATCAGACTTCACTGGTTGATCTTGGTGGAAAATTCACAAGCTATACCCAGCACTATGTAAAGTACTTCAAATTATAAGCTAGTTAAAACTAGCTCCCTTTTTACCAGCGGCAACATTCAATGTGATATACACAATCAATAGTTAAAATCCAATAGTATATGTTTAATGTGCCATTCCACTTAACGAGCATTTTTACTTTTAGCACTTTAAGTATGTTTTGATGCTAATACTTTTGTACTTTTACTTAAGTAACCTTCTGAATGCAGGACTTTTATGTATTTTTATACCATTGTATTGCTACTTTTACTTAAAGAATTTGAGTACTTTATCTACCACTGAGACAAATCATGTAAGGGGCTTCCCACTGCTACCGTTTCTAGTGTGAAATACCCTCTTGGTGGTACTAATGCTTCACTACAGTTCAGTAAGACAACACTTTCTGTATGGGGAAACACAAAGTGGGTCATCTTTGCACACAGCCAGGACTCTGTAATCACATTAGGAAGGAGACTCGTCAGGGCCAGGATAACGGTGTGTGGGCACATAAGAGTTGTTTTAACATAGAACTAAAAATATCTGAACCTATTTGTTAATTCTGAGAACTAGAAAGTCTGCAGTGACTGCAAAACATCAATTTATAAGAGGCCATGGTAAAAGCCAATATTTAAAAGATGTATCTAATTTTGTGATCCATTTGAGAACAATGTGTTAGTGCTCAGTTAGGTGTAAGCACTCTGGAGCTGTCATGATAAACAATGCTGGTTAACACGGTAATTTGTGCCTTCAATGAATTAAAATCATTCTAATGGCTTATTATATAATTAATTCACACTTTGCTTACAGAATAGCAACAGCTGTTCCTGGTGAAGCATCGTTATTTAGCTTCAACAACACATCGGTTCTTTTGTGTGCAAACAAATGTACCTATTTGTTCATCTTGTGCTATCAAAATTTTATTAAATGCATAAAGTTATCTGTCTTTTAGCAAGATCAATACTAAAAAGTTATTTGCTTTTCCACCTTGCAGGTTGCCCAAATAGAATTCAAAACAAAGTAACCACAAAATCTGGAGAAATCAATTTTTATTTTCCCTCTGGATGTCTTTTCATACAATAAAATTCTTGCTGCTCACACCGAAAGAGAACAGCATCCTCCTCAGCATGAATCATCAGATGTGCGCTGGACAAAAGACTAAGCTAACAGAAGTACTACAGATTTAGACGGTGTGAGCTGACCTCGTGCACGACTGGTTACATAGGCCGGGGAAATGATTTTTCAGGAGTGCCTATCAAAAGCTCAAATTCGTGTTAATTCGTGATATGTTTAAATCTTTCATTGTATTTTGGTGCAGAAACTGTGCGCTCTCTCTTCCTGATGCCAATATTTTGGGGTATTTCAGAATCTGAAAGTCACATTAAGCTACTGTTTTAGATTGCTCTTAAAATATATGACCTCAGTACAGATTTCTCCACTACACAGTGTCTTACGTTACAGCTTTACTGGTTGTTTTTTGTTATCTATGTGCAGAGTATTCCCTAGAAAGCATTACTGGTACTTAATAAAATATCTTGGTGAAACAAAATAAAGCGAATTACTTGAAACCAGGGGTTGGAAGAAGTACTCCGATTGTTTAC